GGCGCCGCAGTTATGAATATTGATTGTCACTTCAACTGATTGATGAAATAACAGAGGCAATCCTGTCCCCTGGGGGAGGGGAGGGGGGAGGGGTAATTGACCCCCCAGGCCGTCAGGTGGAGGGGGTTTGGGGGTTTGGGGGTTTAGTGGGGGTTTCGATTAACTATTAATTTGAAACTAAAAATGTGAGAAAAATACATCATAGTTTACATAATAATCTATTACCTGTTTTACATTATACTTTTTTACGATTTTATTAAACTATTTGTAGATCACTGCACGGATGATCACTGCACGGATGATCACTGCACGGATGATCACTGCACGGATGATCACTGCACGGATGATCACTGCACGGATGATCACTGCGCGGATGATCAATCCAGTATCGGCCCAATTCTCCGATTCATCAATCGCCGTCGCGCCAAAACTGCGCCCCTGAGAAATGGTCGCGCCAGGCTAATTGGATGAGGCTAGTGGCTAGTGGCTAGTGGCTAGTGGCTAGTGGCTAGTGGCTAGTGGCTGGTGGCTAGTTGCTAGATGCTGGTGGCTAGTGGTTAGTGACTGGTGGCTAGTGGCTAATGGCTAGTGGTTAGTGGCTAGTGGCTAGTGACAAGTGACTGGTGGCTAAGTGACTGGTGGCTAGTGGCTAGTGACTAGTGACTGGTGGCTAGTGGTTGGTGGCTAGTGGCTAGTGACTAGTGACTGGTGGCTAGTGGCTAGTGGCTAGTGGCTAGTGGCTAGTGACTGGTGGCTGGTTCCACCGCCAGGTCCCCGCTCTAGCCTTATAGCTGAACAAAAATTTCCCCTGCTATTCGCCGCCATTTTTTTGGGGTCGAAAAGCTCATTTTGGGGGAAACTCCGCCTCCCCCATCACTGTTTTGGGAGGGGGGGGAGGGGGGGAGAGATACAATCGAGGGATGATTATAAATATGAGAGAAAGATAGGGAAGGAAGAGGGGCGGGGAAGAGGGAAAGTTAACATGAAACTCGTAGGGAAGAAATGAGAGTAGGGTGAGTATAGAGTGAGTATAGGGTGAGTATAGGTTGAGTATAGGGTGAGTATAGGGTGAGTAGGGTGAGCATATGGTGAATATATAACGGGTAGGGTGACTATAGGATGAGTAGGGGGACTATAGGGTGAGTATATGGTGCGTATATGATGGGTAGGGTGACTATAGGATGGGTATATTGTGAGTATAGGGTGAGCATCTGGTGAGTATATGATTGGTAGGGTGACTATAAGATGAATAGGGTGAGTATAGGGTGAGTAGGGTGAGTATGGGGTGAATAGGTTGTGGGTAATTCACCGATTTTCTGACACGGTTAAGGTGCTGATGCATAGGTCTGAGTTTACTTTAATATATAATGAAGTGCTGGCAGGTCCCCGTTATTTAATAACGGCAACAGGGCTGACAACCTAACAATTATTTATCTACTTTGAGATACGACAGGTTAACCTGCCAGCACTACATATTATCTATTAAAGTAAACTCAGACCTATGCATCAGCACCTTAACCGTGTGCACCAACATTAGGATAGCCTTTCACGCTATCTTTATGTGTATAATTATTGTTTTAATTTAGCTTTTTAATTAATCACGAGAAAATTTATTCAAATAATTTGTTTGGTATTAGATAGAGCTTTGTTTTAATGAAAACATAGTTGACAAAATTATAACTCAGTACTCACTGCAGTGAGTGACAGAGAGCGCATTTTCTCGTCGAC